TGTACACACACACACACACACACACACACATCTATAAAAACATAACTCAACTTTCATCATTCGTCTTCCATTACACATAACGTATCATGCAGAGCAATAACAACCCTTTTCTGTTTACAATAAAAAAGGACGTTGTCTAACCTTTTTATCTTATCGTTCGTGTTTATTCGTGTTTGAACCCTGGTTCACTTGTATTACAAGACCCTTGCACTCCGGCAAGCTCCTGCCAAAAAGTTCAGATTTAGACCCATCCATTCAAAAACCCATTTGGTATCTCCACATTAAATGAACTACTAATGTCATGTACAGTGCCGATTCTCTAGTTCAAACCCACAGCCGACAGAACAGTTACAGTACAGTAGTCTCCCCTTAAACGCACGTCCTTCAAATGCGTGCTCCGGTCAAACACACGCTTTCGCCATAAACGAGTTTTTAAAACTTTACTATCATTACTATCATAATTTAGATCACGATTACTTCCTCTAAACGCACACTTGGATCGGCTGAAAACTAAACACTGTATTCCCTTCCTACACAGCTGCATTAAGACAAATTGAGACAGAAGGAATAATTATAATTTTGCTGGACTGCCCTTCATGCAGAAAAAGGAGTGATTGAGGAGATTGTTAACCCATCCAACTGTCCACAGTCTAATATATAACTTGGGTGTAGGCTGGGCAAGCGATTGTGTTGGAAAGGAGGGTGACTGAAATGTTCTTTGGTGACGAAATGTTTTGAGATGAAGTTTTTCTCTGGGTGACTGTACTGTAATAAAATAAACTGTTTAGTTAGTACAGGCTATGTTGCGCATCATACGTGGATAAAACACTAGAGGGCTCTCGTGGCCTTGAGGTTACGGTGTTCGCCTCTCATCCGAAAGGTCCCGGGATCGAATCCAAGTAGCTGCGGAACATTTTATTCTCTCAAATTTTCTCCTTTCACTTTCACATCCTTTCCTGCTCTCTAATAATGTTCTGTCGTCTGCTTTCGTCTCCACTCTCACCTCATTTGCCCGCCTCCTCTGGGTTTTTGACCCTTTCTGCACCCTTTCTACTTCTACTGCATTTCCTTGGCCCCCTTACT